TCTTCTGTTGAAAGTGTGACCAGTCCCGTCAATCGCTCCCAAGCCATTTTTTTGTTTATCAGTAAAGTACGTGTGATACGTAGAATGTGAATATACAAACCAAAATAAGAACACCATTGTTGAAACACTGGGAAGTATGTCATTGTTGATAAAAACAAGGACAAGCTGTCAACGATTGCTGATTATTGTGAAACAATAATGTAAGAAGCGATGTAATGTACCGGCAACAATGCCATTTTATGGTGGGCGTTAAAAATTGTTTATTTACTTTGCACAGGGCTTTGTTGCTTATTTCAGATAAAAGAACACGTCGAAGGCCCATTACAGCAACAATGTAAGAAGGAAATTTAAGCAGGTTAAGACGTTAGAGGATCTATCTTGTTCCCAACAAACTTTTTGAGGAATCATCGTCCGGCATAGTTCGTCTTTAGTTTAATTTCGTTGTATCCTGAATGTTCCCGCCATGTCTTGAGAATGAGTGACGGAGTTGCAACTGTGGGTTGCGATGTTGCCAGACTTCCACCTGAAGTCGACTGTACAGCTGTCGGACGGAGTCATTTTAGTTGGCAAGAACTTTTCTTTAAAGATACTTTCAGCAGCAAATGAAAGGTGGACTAATGTGAAGTGAGCGGAGAGAGTTTTATGTCCCGTTAATTATGCGACTGATAACTTTCAAAATCGGTTTCCTCGATGGAAAGAGGGCACAAGGCAGAGACAAGTGCCCGGATATTAGTCCACAGAAAATCCATTTGAAGTCGAAAATAGTGTGGAAGAAGAAACTAACGTTTCAGGAAGAGCAATTAGAAGAATTTTTAAAAGAGGAGAGGAGCGTGAACGCAGAGAAATTGTTTCGCCCAAGTGTCGAATCGTGTGGTTTTCGACAAGTGCGTCATTCGGCTCACATTTCACAAACTACTCCCGGGTTTCAAAGGCGGTAACACTAACGTAAGAAACACTGAATCAGGGGTGGGGAACCTTTTCATGTTGGAAGTCCGCATTCAAGAAACTTCAATTAGATATACTTAAAAAAATGTACATTATTTTATAAAAAAATCTAACTACTACGTACTTAATAATTTCAAAAAAAAATGAAAACTATTTGTTAATTTTAAAGTTAACTGATCTTTTAATGACTTTGTTGGAAAGCATTTGAATGTTTGGTTGCAGCATGGAGGCCCACAGTTTCAGTTGATCCTCTAGATGAGTATCCGTCATTTGTGACCTTAAGGGCGTCTCGAAAAATGTATTAATGAAAATAAAAGGATTTGTTCTGTAAAATTTGGATTCAGTCACAAAAGGACGCACTTAAGGACCTAGAAGGCCACATGTGGCCTTAAGGCCGCAGGTTTCCCACCCCTGCACCGAATGATCTTGGATTAATGTGGGAAACAAAGAGAAATGCAGGACGTAAGATGTATGTGAGTCATGGTTCTCTGTTGTGGATTAATTCCCAACGCACTTACGATTATAAATCATTTTGTCTGTGGTTTGTATCAAAGCGACTCTTGAGAGCTGTATTTTATACAGAAGTAAATTCCTGTGCTGTGCCTGGAACTCCTTTTTTTTAGGTTAGGTTTTCATGGGACATTGAAATGATTTACTAATTCAGTGCTCCCGCGAATTTTACCACGTGTCATTAGCTACGTATGCCCGTTGTATCCGGTACAGGTTCAGTAACGCTGTGTGTGACCTTACACCGAAGGCTGTCTGTCCCGTGTAGACACAGGAACGTGGACCTGCTGCTTGTTCTCGAAGCATTAGAACGTAGGGATATTCACCATTTTACGTGCCTGAGGCAAACCTTGCTCCTGAGGTACATATTTCCGAAATACATTTTGGTTTTGACGTAAATACGTCTATATGGAAGGGTCTTTCCGCAAAAGAGTGACTGAAAAACGTGTAAGATCCATATCAACAATGTGTAAATATGGACCGACAACAATGGTCAGCTTGTGTGCATTATGTTACATAGGAAACATCATCTGTTTACTCGGCATTGTTGTGTTACATTACTGCCGTCAACAATCCGCTTTCGTAACAAGATGGATGACATTGAAGATAACATTACATTACAGAGACGTAAATATAATTTAAGTACAGAGACGTATTTACGTCAGATTCTCCGGGAACCGTGGTTACACTTAGTAACTTTTTTACTCTCGTGGATTCATTATCTACGGACATATTGTTGTTCTTTCAATAATATAACACATATTTAACCATTGTTGTGTAGACAGCGTACATTATTAATACTGCATTATATGTTTCCATAACGGAATACTCAGGTATAAAGTTGCTCTATTTTCCTGTTCAAGGCCACTGGTAATGGATACCACTTCAGGGGACTACGAGGCACCCAAAGATCCCGGAGTCCAGCAGACACACTATCAAACTTTTTCAGAAAAAGACTTTGAAGGTAAATACGAATTTTTTTTAAATAATTCGCTTGTATCCTTACGCAAATATTTCGTTATTAGACGCTGATTTAGTTAGCATAAGAACGCTGTGAACACGTATAATATGGGGTATACACTCAACATTGAATAGACATCAGGAGAAACTCGGAGACTCTTACACAATGTGTACGGTAACTAGGTTAATGCACCAGAGGTATCAGCGGGTTGTAGGAGGAAGGAAGCCCCTATCGACAGGCCTCTACTTTATTTAATTTGAGGTTATGTTACGGCAGGGGTAAGCAAAATAATTAAGTCCGTCCACAATTATTTTTATGTGTTACTAATATCACTGCAGTTAAATCACCGTGCATCACCAGAAAGTAAATTTATCGAGTTGTAAGCCATATGACGCATACTCCACAAGTATTCTTACTAAAGGAACGGGAGTTGAAATCAGTGGTTGCTTTGAAGCTGTTACTGTCCGTCCTAATTGCATTTCTGGACATGACACCGTTTTGAAGTGCTTGAAATTACCGACGTGCGTAAGCAACCACATTTCTCGAGGATAAATCACCATCTGAGATGACCACTAACACCGAATCTTTTGGACCGCTCGGACTATGAAGATGGAGGCATCAGATTTCTCTGAAACGCGGTAATGTTCGCCACTCAGACGCGGTGCATTAGGCAAACCTAAAAGACTCCACACATTGACGTTCAGAAACTGTTCTGCGTGAAGAACATCTCTCATCACAGGATTCAGAGATGCGTGTGCGTCTTTGAAGCACATTGCAGCGCATTTGGTTGCTCGTCTCGAGTATCGGACTGCACAAGTTGGTTCCTTCCAACCACAGCTTCCTTCGCTCGTGCTCATGGCTCTGGAAAGGCATGGCATCCGTCACACTGGCGAGAAGTTGTCATCCCTGATTAATTTTTGAGGAGATTCTGGGTTAAAATCTCGTGATTATTACATCGTTTGCTGCCTTACGTGCAAGTGCACACATTGGCTTAAATCACGCCTTAACATTTTAGTTTTTCTAGGTAAAAACTGTATCAGATACAGGAGAAAATTTAATATATTAACGCAACTCTGTAATAATTTGTGTAAAGTTTTAAAAATGTATACTTGCCCGAATTTATAACTTGTGTTGGGCAAGGCCGTGGTCTAGGCAACACGGAGTTTTCCTCCGTGGCATCCCAACAATTACTCCATTCACACACAGAAGAAGGCAATGGCAAACCACTTCTGGATCATCTGCCAAGAACGTATATGAACAGGTCCCAGTCCGAGAAAAGGATAGAAGGATCCTGTTCATATGGACCTGACCTGTCGTCAGGCAAACCACTTCTGGATCATCTGCCAAGAACGTATATGAACAGGTCCCAGTCCGAGAAAAGGATGGAAGGATCCTGTTCATATGGACCTGTCGTCAGACAGAACACTTTTTCGTGTACAGTAAAAGTGAATCCAAGGGCCCCGTCACTATTAAGGAAGAATTCTTCTGTCACCTTCAGACAATTTGAAGTCGTTTTATTACAGTTCATTAACTGGAAATGTGGGCGGATCTGATATTCTTGGGGCAAGAAGCTGGACTCTCTTTCAGAGGTCCAGATTTCGATTTCTTGTCGGACGATTCCGCTTACAGACTGAAGACTTTCCCTCTCCCAATTACAATACGTTGGAAAAGTGAAGTGTACCAGACCTCACCGTGGTTCGGAACCCACGTTAAACCGTTGGTCTTCTCAAGTATCGTTCTTGTGATCATCTCGCGACTGGGAGGAACGGAATCCGCACTGCTCGTTCTCTTACCTCAGAAATGGATTCCAAAATTGTATAAGGTTGGAAGGGGCCAAGTAAGATCATGGAGGTCGCGCGAGTAGTGGTGGCACCTAAAATGCGCGAGAGGGGAGTTCAGTAGTAGGGGAGGGGGGTCGCACAGCCTCAGCTGCGGTTGCATGAGAGGAGGGGAACTAGAGTGGCCACTTACTATTAACTTTTCTAAAAATATTGAGTTTGGTTTTTCCTATCTCTGGTTCGCACCCCTGCTTCTCTCTGAATCTGACGAAAGAGGCAGTATTCCCTGCACACTGATGTCTTCATCCTCAACTTCTTGTACAAGTTTACATACGGACAACCACTCTTCTTTAGTGACGGAGAATTTTTATTTTGCCAGTTTTTGAACGTCTTGCAATCGGAATGTGACGTTATACTACCAACCAACTGAAGCTGACACCCCTCTAGCGCGTGCTTTGGACGGGACCATCTCATACGACCAAAATCAGTCCTTTGCGCATGTTCCACCAATTCTCGCGCGACCTCTAACACATTTCGTGAGACATTAGAAATCCACCTACCAGAACGGAATTTGTAAGTTGCCATGGCAATAACATAAAAGCAAATGTTGGTTGCTTTGTGAATGAAACTCGCCACGGGCTTGTTAACGGCAATATTATTAAGACTCCTCTCTTGGAAAATAAAATAATTACAAACATAAAATGCATCGTATTTTAAACGTTTCATCGACGACGTACCAGAGAAATGCCATGAAATTATAATATGTAGCTGCCATAACCGTGACGTAAGGCGTGCTATTTAAGAAGAACGTTTTAGGTCCGGTTATATTGGGATAAGTTGGCGTGGTCTCCAGAAATATAGTTGAACCAGTTCAGTCGGATAAATCCAGACAGGATATTCTGAAGAGCTGTGTGTAGCGTGGGTTTTCTGGGCATTTCAACAAAATCTAAGGCAGACGCTGGTTGATCTACCATCCAAAGCGTCACATATGTGATTAACTCCATGGGGGGGAAAACCCTTATTGAGAAGTTGGTTGTAGGTCATCCGGTGAAAAATATCCCTGTACGTTGTGAAACCTCGAGATCCATAACCGTGATTACAAGAGAACAGAATCCTGAGAATATTTGAACCGAAGAGGCTGGAGTTGTTTAAATAATATAAGAGCCACAAATTGGCGGCGACACCAAATGTTTAATTTATATCTTAATTGCGTCATGTTTGTGTTTTTGATTAAAATATATAATAAAATTCAGGTCAATACACAAAACTATATTTGGATGTTAAAATTTAAAATTTAAATGTTAAAATTTAAAATTTAAAATTTGCGCCATTCATCACTATAAGGATGTTACATTATATATTATATATTTATTATTTATTATATATTTTATTCTGATAACGAACATCAAAATGCATACTACAAATCAAGATGAAGACAGAAAATTAAAAATCAATAAACGCAATGCACAAATGTACAATAGTTTTTAAAAATATATGAATTGATAAGCCTGATGATGATGTGGTAAACATCGAAACATGTCGTCGAAATCAAAAGCGCTGTGATACATTGTAATATTATACTACACAGAAAATATAACATAATGCAATTTATATTGTAAATGTTATAAGTAATTTTAACAGCATTATTTTAAAACAAGTTTTGTGTATAGACTGGAAAAATAAATATATGTACCAAATGTTTAGTTGGTGTTTTGATGGCAGGATCTAACGGAGAATTGAAGCCGGGAGTGTTAAATTGTCCATGGACGCAGATCATAAACATAAAAGATTTATTTTTACATTAATAGTTACATATCTGAGGTTATATCTGACAGAATTGAATGTTGGGATTTGTCCTGGTGGATTTAATGTACCACTGAGTAGAGAAATTATTAACGGTGCCCTTATTTCACCAAATAGCTGAAACCAGGTTCGTAGTGTGGCCTGGCACGCACGGATTATTTTCTTAAACAGCGTTAACAAATTGGTCTTTGTGACGGAGAGGTTTTTGGGTGTGTATTCAGTTGATAAGGAATTTTTTGTACAACAGCAAACAATTTCATTTGATTTCTGGCTTTGTTACTAAATGATTTTTCTAATTTTCTAGAGGGGTATACATAACTGTGTTTAAAAAGGCGGCAGTGACGCACGGCCCTGGCTCGACTAAGCTCTGAAGGTAGTAGGCAGAGCTTCCACTTACGTAGGGCATCCTAATCCACCTCAGAGATGGATTACAGTGCTTTGTCTCGCTGAGCTGGTCGATACAATGGCCTTTGTGCATGTGACTGTTCAGGTGACTTGTTCACGGAACTCTGGTACGAACATGCCATTGAAGGTCGTTCCAGAAATTTGTGCATCTTAATGAAGGCCGTTGTTCGAATGAGTGTAAAATAATATGGCGACAGAGCGAAATATTTCAACTTGATGGCGTTAAAACTTTGTATCCAGCCAGGATGTTTGGTCTTAAAACAAGTTTTATATGCATATGAGTCTTGTATGTTAAAACATGGCAATGCAATGTTTCGTACCTACTTATAATTTTACACGGTGACCCACATTACAGTTCACCATTGTCTTTACGTGCCTGGGAAATATAATTTCTGCTGAATTAAATGTGGACCTGGAAACAGAATTGTGAAAATATAGTAAACTTACTGGAGTCATGAAAAAGACATTTCAGGAACAAAATGAATTTAAACACTTCGATTTCGCAGCGAATCTTTGATCTTAAGAGAGGAGAGCGAGAGAAGTTCCCCTTAATAGGAGTTGCCCGAAGGGACAGATTGCCAAATTAGGAAATAAGTCACCGAATAAAGACCACAAATATTGTAAATGACATAGAGAATTACCAATTAAATTGGAAACAACATGTTGAGATGATGGCAGAAAAGGGACTTTCTAAGCAACTACTTGTTTGTTTGTTTGTTTGTCATCGGTCTTCCGACTGGTTTGATGTGGTCCTCCATTTTCGTCTATCTTGCGCCAATCTCTTCATTTCGACATATTTTTTACAACTCACATCCTCAAAAATTTGCGTCACATATTCCAATTTTCATCTCCCCCTAAAATCTTTCCCTTCAACTGTTCCTTCCATTACGAAATTAACGAATCCTGGGTGCCTCGGAATGTGTCCCAGCATCCTATCTCATCTTCTCGTAAGATTACTCCACAGACTTATTCCTTTCGTACTATATCAGTCCACTTAATTTTCAACATTTCAAATGC